GTATGTATGTATGTATGTATTTATATATATATATACAAAAAATACATTAATTTAATAAAGTTATTGATTCTATAGCTTAGGGAGTCTGTTAAAAGAGATATTTTGAAGTGGGGTTTTATGGAAAGATTATGAACAGTTATTATCTTGCCTGTTGTAAACATTTTCGTGCCAATTTATAGAAATAGATTAATTCTGTCTGGATTTATGAGCTTACAGGAAAACTTACTTCTAAAGCAGATTGATGGTGTCTTATAACGGCTTTAAAAATGCATTTTATTGTTTTTATTGAACTTTKAAAACTCTTCAATTAAAAAAAATAAATCGATATATGAAGTATTATTGTGATATTTCAGCAAGAAGTTTCACAAAATATATCTCTAAACTTTTTAAGGCTTATCTTGTGCATTAAAGAAGATATTTCTGTTTCCACAGTGTGTTAGCTTGTATCAGTGTCTTTGTGTCACATCTGCTGTGCTCTGAGGTTAGCTYGCAGACAGCATCATGTTCCAGGGATCATGTTTGGAAAGAAATCCTCCTGCTGCAGCCACAACTTCCTGCAGATGTTCGCAGCAAATTGATGGTGTGTTCTCTTAAACTCACCCCATTTTAATCAAGCCTTGATGCTTCTTGTCATGTTTAAAAGGTCACCGACTCATATCTTCATATCTTCTGTCTGCTCTCAGGATTCAGTGAGTTTCAGCTGAGCCACACACAACATGGCCCTGAGAGACAAAACACAAGAGAAAACAGTCACTTATGGGACATTTTTTGAACCAAAAATGAAAAACAAACTCTCGTAACACACACAGGTGGTTCTGCTGCTGCTTTGAACTAATCGAGGCATGGAGAGAAAAAAAGAAACAAAGACACGAGGTTTAAACAGCAGACGCATCCTGATACTGTAAAACTAACCATGACCTCCTTTTCTGATTGAATTAGAGGCTGACTCGATTACATCATTAGAGTTTCTCTGTCAGGAAACACAACCGTACTGTATTACACACATGACAACAACGTGTCTGTGTGTGTCTGTGTTTGTGTGTGCAGTCTGTCAGAGGTTTTTAAACACTAATTTTGACTGAAAATAAAGTTAAAAACGTTGTTTATAACATCACGTTAGCGTTTTGTGTTAAAAACTAAAGCAACACGGTGTGGCAGCGGTTAGAGCTGTCGCCGCTCAGCAGCGAGGTCACAGGTTCGCCTCCCAGTCTGAGGCCTTTCTGAGAGGAGTTTACATGTTCTCCTCGTGAACGAGCGTGTTGGAGCCATCTGTAACTATAAATAATCCCTGATGGTGATTGGTTGTTTGTCTCTATGTCAGGGGTGGGCAATCCTGGTCCTGGAGGGCNATTAAAAGTGACATATTTTATATTGTAACACCAATTTCAATGAAGTCGGGACATTTTGTAAAACATAAATAAAAACAGAATACAATGATTTGCAAGTCCTTTTCAATACTACAAAGAAAAAATATTTAATGATCAAATGGATACACTATTTGTTTTTTATTGCAAATATTCACTCATTTTAAATTTAATGTTTGCAACATGTTTCAACGAAGCTGGGACAATAAGAGACTGGAAAAGTTGAATAATGCTTAAAAAACAACTGATTGGAGCATCCCTCAGGTGAACAGGTTAACTGGATACAGGTGAGTGTCATGACTGGGTATGGAAGGGCGAGTTTCACCACTTTGTGAACAACTGTGTGAGTAAACAGTGCAACAGTTTAGGAACATTTATCAACATACTATTACAAGGGTTTTAAGATTTCATCATCTACAGTCCATAACATCAAAAGATTCAGAGAATCTGGACAAATCTCTGCAAGTAAGCAGCAAGGCCGAAAATCAACACTGAATGGCCTTTGATCCCTCAGACGACACTGCATTAAAAACATCATTCTGTAATGGATATTACCACCTGGACTCAGAAACACTTCAGAAAACCATCCATCCATTATCTATACACACTCTCACCTATATTTTATTAGTTAGAAATTCATTCATTTTAAAAACAAAACATTTATGTACAAAAAAAAACATACAATCAAAAATCAAATAAAATGAAAGGCAGCAGAAGAATAAATCTTATAACATCTGCCCCTTTTGTCCCCTAAATAAGTTCAAACAAAAGTGATTTACACACAAAAAAACAACAAAAAAATAAAACAAAGCTAAATTCAAACAACAATTCATACACATTCACAATTATGATTTTTCCATATTTCTTCAGAAAACTAAGTTTTATCATTCTCTTAATTATATACATAGATCTGGCATTTTTAAAGGGCCAATATTATGTGTTTCTCAGACATATATTTAAATGCTATACCATAATAAAGTATCTATGTCACCT